TCCTGCGGTCACGTCGGGGTGTCGTTTGTAGGCTTACGTGCATAAGAGCGTGATGGAGGAGCTGAAGAGAATAATCGACGACAGCGAAATCACAAAAGAAGATGATGCTCTGTGGCCTCCTCCTGACAGAGTTGGTCGACAGGTTGGTGTACAGTGTCTCTTTTAACGGCTGCTTTAATTTTTGTGCTGGCTCAATAGAAGCATAACTGAATTTTGAGTCAGTATCGTTTGTAGCTGAGAGGGAACCAAACACTGTTCTAAAACCTGAGTAGTGCCTAAATGGCGATTTAGTCGTGAGAGTTTGTATGATTCACAGACCTGCGGCGTTCGGTACCTTTGTAATAAAAATGGAGAAGCCATCATCTCAGTACTGAAGTATTTCTCTAACTAACACCATAAAGCAGTAGTTTGACTTCCTATATACTCTTTCATTTTTCAGGAGCTTGAAATAGTAATTGGTGATGAGCACATCTCCTTTACCACGTCAAAAATCGGTTCACTCATTGATGTAAATCAATCCAAGTACGTACTCTGCTTTTTTATGTTGCTGTTGTTTTTATGTTGGAACTCGCCGATTACTGGGTACTTGTACTTTATATTGTTTCAAAGTACAGATCGGCTCCTGGGGGCACAAGTGCTCTGTGTTCCAGTGCAATGTCCCCAAGGCTTTAGGCTGTGTCATTACGCGCTGTGTTTTCAGACCCACCGAGCAGAACCCCCGTCAGGTCTGTTTGGAATCTGAACTGAGCTGTCAGTGGCCTGGCCACAGCAGTGTCTTTGGGAGATCCAAGACTTCTGTATTGCACCTAAGCTCAAAGGACTGGATGTTGTGTTTTGTAAATCCAAAGTGATGTTACTACTTACTTTCACAAAAGAAATGCACATTTTATCTAGACTTAACTTGCAAACTTGGACTGCAGAATGTTTTACCAATCCATGCAGGATGAAACAAATCTGTTAATGTCTGTGATGACCTCTGAGAAGTCTCCCCGTAGGCTTTGGTTTGGGGTTGTTTTTTTTTCAGTAGCTTAGTTCTATCAACTGCTTTCTCAGAACATCAGTCTGACTTTTTTCCTTCCTTCTGTTGTGCACTGCAGGGATCCAGAAGGCTTGAGAGTGTTCTACTACCTGGTCCAGGACCTTAAGTGTCTAGTCTTCAGTCTTATTGGACTACACTTCAAGATTAAGCCAATTTAAACGAAATAAACTGAAGTTTGTACTGAGTGTCTGTATGGGGGGCGGGGGGGTGCTGTTTCAGTTCCTCAGTGTTTCTGGCCTGAAGTTTTTATGTATGTTAGAATTTTTTTTTTTTTTTTTTACAAACTGTCAGTGACGTTCTTAATAAAATGGTGAAATCTGTATTTTTAATTTATAAGTTCTGGTGAGAAACTGGCTTCCTAACCCTTCCTTTGTCACGCTACTTTCAGGGTATGTTACTTCACTTGTGTCACACAAAGCCATATTTCAATTCTCTATGCAGCAGTGGAAAATGGAATTAAGTCTGGCTCTGTGAAATGAAACTTTTGCCAGCTGTCAAGATAAACTTTTGTTACTATCCTGAGTTGAATATTCTGTTGGCAAGCTCAAATATGCAAAACAACTGAAGCACTGACTACACATAACCAGAGACATCCGCTTCGTACCAACCTGCTGCTGTGATTGCCCGTTGGCCTTCAGAGAAGTAAACAGGCCACCAGGGAGCCGTCCAGGATCTTCACTCATGCTCCAGTCCAGCTTTAGAAAAACTGAAATTAAAAGCAATGTAGAACACATTAAGTTATAGACTAACAGAGCTTTTGTGCATTAATTGATTTAAGACACCTAAGAGGACCGAAGATGGCTGAACTGCAAAGTGGTAGTTTTTGCAAAGCACTGTAGGAGACCCCACTGGGCTCTGAGGGTGTTCCCAGAACGGCCCTGCCAAGCCCTTGCTCTCTCTCACACATCTTTGTTTTCCCTAAAAGAGTAGCCACGGCGATTTAAAAAAAGGATTGTGGTTAAATGACTTCGGTGCAAACGGCTAACCCGCATTCCCTATGCCAGCACCTCCTGCTTCCCCTCCTCTGGCCACGGGCACCCTCCCCCCGAGCAGCCCCTGCCT